TTTAAAAATGTATAATTGATATTGTGTAATAGGAAGAAAAGGTCTAAAGGAGTAGGGGAAGTGGGAGGGGTAGGGGAAAGGAAAGAAGGGAAAAGAAAAAATATGAGAAAAGGAAAAAAATGGAAAGAAAATCTTTGCAAATTGGGAAGGGTGGAAGGGGTGAAGGGAGGGCAGGGGAAGGGGAAAATATAAGAACCAAGATACTCATGTAAAGATACAAGATCCCAATGATGAATGTAAATGTATTTTATACCTAAAATGCACCAATAAACTTAATGGGCAAAAAAATTCTACAAATATAACCAATGGGATTTTTAACACACACACAAAAAAAAGAAGAAGAGTAGAGTCTGTTGCAAAGTTGTAATGATGTCATGCAACTTGCTGTGCCTCAGATGGACTAGGGCACACCTCACTCTTTGGTAACAATACACATGATGCATGCAGCGAATTCCTTCTGCTTTTTAGTTCCTGTCTCAGCAGCTGACACAAACAGGGTGCTATATAATAGAGGTTGTCTAATTAATACCTGAACAGGGCAGAATAGTGATAGAGTGAATAGTTCTTCCAGTTGAAAATAATGGTCAGTTCATCAACTTTCCATGAAATGATATGGGAACAGCTCATACCATAATGTCTGATTTACTTATTTACTTATTTATTTATTCATTCATTTGTCTAATGCACCTTTTTCTTTTCAAAGCCCCAGTTTAGAATGTGAATCAGGGATATCCATAATACTAAAATGGAAATGTAATTCCAAGTTCTTATTTTTAATTTTTTATATTTAAATAATTGTATTAGACTATGGTTATATTTCCAAATACTTAATTTTAGAATTAACAGTCTGCTTAGGCCCCAGAACATTACTTATGCACTTCACTTGCCAAAAGATTTGTGCAAGGTTTTGTACTGTGGTAAATGATGCCAAAGTTTGTTTTCTGTGGTGTTTGTCAAATGTTCTATGTATAATTGACTGTCTGTAACATGCTGTTTCCTTCCTCTGCATATGTAGCTGCTTTTCTAAATCTGTCTGTCTTTCTTTAGGTTAGCTGTATGTCTGTAAAAGTATGTTCAGTGAAATTACTCTATCAGACACTTGCCTGTCTTTTGATGTAGACGCAGTTTTGTAGCACTCTTTCAGGTTTGCTGCATTTGTTGCCACACTTTGTGCATTCTGAACATGAGTGTAATATGAGATATTAAGTCATTTTTATAAGGGGTTGAATTTAAATCCTCTAAGTCAAATTGAAAGGTGTACCTTTATTTTGCATGAAAATAAAAAGAATTATATGTTAAAAAAAAAAAAGTAGGGTGTGAGACTCTGACTCCCAGACCAGTGCTCCATTGGCTGCATCACGGCCTTTGGGGAAGAAGGTGACAAGACTGTATGGCATCTCATAGAGGAGCAGTGATCCCAGGATCCCCACATTCCACACAGACCCAGCTGCCTGTACATAAGTCATTGTGGCAGGTCCAGGATGCCCAGGAGGACAGGGCACTGTGCGTAGAACACTGCGGGTAAAAGGAAGCTGGCCATACAGTGGCCAGAACCTTGTCCACTCTTCTATTCATGCTGGCTACTGTGCATTGACAAGCACACTAACATCTGCTCATTCACCTGCCAACTCAAGAAATACAGAAAAGGATCTGATGCCGTTGGGGACCTACCTCATCATCCCTTGAAGTAGGCTGACCAGGAAACGAAGAGGAAACAGTGGGCAGCAACAACCCCCTCCCACCCTGTTGTTACTGCCCTCATTTAAAGTGGAGAAAAGGGAGTCCTAGAGATATCAAGTGACCTGTCTAAGGTCACGGAATTCAGAATGGCAGGGCAGGCTCAAACCCAAGCCTCTGCCACTAAGGTCCTTGTTCCTTTCTCTACCCTGCCCTTGGAGCATGGGAGGAGGAGTTAGGAAAGGAAGAAGCCAGCACAGGCTAGAGCACCAGGACCCTGCAATGGCCCTGAAGGACAAGCTTGGGGGAGAACATGCAGGAGGGAGGAGCAGCTGCAGGTCACTGAGCCTGGAATTCTCCAGGAGGAGGCAGCCCCACCACGAAACTTTCCCCAGACCCCTGAACAGATAGTGTCAAGGGGGAAGGTAGCTTCCAGGGAGGAGGTGTTGAGCAGGAGGGAGCAGAGCTCCTGAAAGTGTCCTGGTCTCTTGATTTGGGCCAGGTACCCCTGAATGGGAGCAAGGGTGCTGATGTTCCTATGAATCTGCTGTGAGGGGACCATAGTCTCACAAGTGGATCTGATGAGGCCATTAGACCATACTCCACCCGCCAGTCAGCCCCACCTGCCACCCCTATGATTCTGCAAAGTGGCCCAGCAGACCGAGAACCGCACAGCCTACATTTTCCCCTGTAATTTCCCTTGCAGATTCCCATATAAGCAGCATCCCTCAAAGGATAGAATCTCCCATCACTCCCACAGTTGGAGAAATGAGTCCCTTTCTCTCATCTATTCTGCCTCTGAAACCCCTTTGCTTATAATAAGGCTACAGAAGCAAAACAGCCTTGTGTGGGTCCCCTCAGCTCAGCTGCCGTGTGTTCCTGGTGTGTGGGTGTGGTCCTGGGCCAGGGAGACAGAGACTATTTGGGGAGCCAGATGCCCGGTGGGTGGGGCCACATCCATCTCTGCACAGCTCAGCTTTTCAGATGCAACTCGGGAGGCTAAGTCAGCGATTCTCATACATCGCAGCTCCCCTTCCTTCCTGCCCACTGCCCGCCCTCCCTTCCATGGATGTTTAATGATACCTATAAAGTGCTGACTCTGAGGTGGGCACTGGCCTCTGAGACCACCGAGTCAGATGCCAGCCCTTGGCAAAGCCTGTCTTGGAGAAGACACAAATTGAGGGAGACCTACAGCAACAACATTCATTTATCATTAACCATGGCCTTGGCTTCCTGTGCTGTAGAGGAGCGTGATGAAGACTAGGAATGACTGAGTCATGGACCTCCTAGAGAACTGTGTAGTGAGGGGGTGGAAGGGTTATTTCCCTGGTGGGCCTGGTGCTCTGTGATGAATGGAAGGCCTAGATTAATTCACTCATTAATTCACGTAACTGCCACTCAGTAAATGTGACCTTCGAAAGGGTGACCAGGGCAGCCCTGACTTGGCACCTACCTGTAAACACCAGCTCAGATGTCTTCTCTCCCAGGAAGCACCCCCTGACCCTCAGGGCTGCTTTCTGCTTCCACAGGTTGCTGAGAGTGTCCCTGGGTTGTCAGCTTGGGACTTTCCCCACTCACCCCACGCCTAGAGTCCCCTGAGGGAGCCAGAACCTGGAGAGCAGGCAAGGTCACACCTTGGTCCCTATCTCCTTCCCCTTCCCTGACAGGAAGAGCTCACAGTAGGAGGAAGGAGGCAGGGCTGCAGGTGTCTCAGAGGCACCTAGTGAAACCAGCAGAGGAGAAAATTGGCAATTAGTAGGTTGTGAGAAGGAAGACATCAGGAAAGACTCAACATTAAATATGGCCACACAGGATGACCTATAGCATTAAGCTTAATCAGGAACAAATAGTTGTGCACCCCGAGTAGATCTGAGCACTTTTTGGTACAGACTGCTTCTTGCAGGGCTGTTTCATGCTGAGCCAAATGAAGACACAGCAGCAGTGTGAGGAGGCCCCAGCACTACTAGGGAAGAGTGGAGGCTCCATGACAGCAGGTTTGAGCATCACACCCCTCGCCACCTTGCTAGCAAACATGACAGCTTGAACTTCCCCAGCCCTGCCCAGGATCCCTGGGCCTGCTGCAGAGGTGGAGTGACCAGCTGCAAGAGAGCAGATCCACTAGGGTCTGTGATCTGGTCCGTGGGAACTCAGGGGTGGTTCCTGGCCTCAGAATCACCTCTCTCCTACTACTCCCATCCCTGTGGGTTGCTTCTGCTCCCCTTCTACAGATGAGGAAGTATGAAGTCCAGAGAAGTTAAGCACATTGCCTGAGGTCACACAGCAAGTCAGGGAAAGGTCCAGATCAGACCCTGGCTGTCATTCTGGCTCCAAAGGTGCCCACTGCAGCCCTTGAGGTCCTCTCCCTGGGGGTCAAAGGGGCCTCCCAGGCTGTGCCACAGGACCTTGGCTCTCCTTCCTCCTGGCCCTGACCCACCTCTGCTCCATGAGGGTGGGATGTCACCGCACCTGCTCCTTCAGTGCACTGCTCTGGGTCACAGATCCCTCCCCGGAGGACAGGGAAGGTGACAGCCCTGTAGGGATGTGAGGAGGGAGGATACAGTGAGTGACAGGCACACAGCTGGGAGCAGCAGCCTCAGGTCAGGCTGCATCTCTGTCCTCTGCAGGAGCCTCCTCCTCCCAAGCCCTCCCCATCCCCCAAATCTGCATTCATTTCCTGTCATCATTTCTTCTCCTGTGTGGTACTTCTCTCATCATGTAACAATGTGTTCTTCATTTCTCACTTTGCCTCTTGTTTCCCCAGCCATGCCCAAAAGCTCCATCAGAGTGAGGACCTTGGATGCCATCCACAACTGGTCCCTGTGCTCAGCACAGAGCCTGACACACAGGAGCTACTGAGGAAAGCCTGCTGGTGAGGGGGAGGATGAGCAGTGTGACCGGCTGGATCAGTCAGGATGGGCAGGTGCTGGCACTGTGTCCAGGTCAAAAAGACCCAGGGTGGGTGAGCGACCCCTTTCAGCCCTCTCCATCTCTTCCTCTGGGGAGCTTTTCATGATGCCCAGAGAAATTCTGGTAAAGGTGGGGCCACAGGAGATTCCTCACAGGACCACCCACCCCCTTCTCAAGACTCCAGGAGAGACGGATGGAAAAGACATCAAGTCTGGCTCTGTGACTCGCTCCCGGTTGTGTGACCTGAAGGTGGTGCAGGCTGGCTTGTGTGGGATCAGTGCAACCTCAAATGGACAAGGGTCTGAGAGGTCTTGCAGCCCACAGGCCAGGAGCCCCAGGAGGAGGGGAACAGAGCCCCCTCTCTGCATAGGCCCTTGCAGGGAGGCAGAAAGTGCCACTGACTGTCAGGCATTACTCACATTGTCCACAGCAGCAGCCATGCATTTTTAACATGCTAGTCTCTCGGATTCTCAATATTCATCTCACTAAGTGTTCCATCTGGGCCCATTTCTTCCTTTTTGCTGCCTCAAAGTGTTCAGCAAGTCGCACAACAAGCAATGAGAAAACACAGGGGAACTCGTTTTTTAGAGGATTCAGTAAAGCCTCTTCCACTGCACCCTCCTCTGAGCAGAGTCAGCAGAGCAGAGGCTGAGATACCGACCCACAGTGGAGACAGGGACTGAGCTGGAGGACTGATGGAAGGTGCCTTGCTCTGGTAGAGCACCCACCACGTGGGATCCTTTGGGGCTTGAGGCTAAGGGCAGGGCCACGAGAGGAAGTGACAGACATCAGCACAGGTGCCCTTAAACCAGGTAAGAGGGGCACCTGCGCAGAAGCCCCAGCTCTGCAGCCTCGCTCAGCCCATGGGACAAGGACTCAGCAGGGCCAAAGGGAAGGGCCCGGCCAGACTAGCCCCTTCAGACTCATGCCAGGACCCTGGAATCCTCTGCCCAAATGGCCATGTGCTACCTCCAGGTGCTGCCTGGCCCTCTGGCCCAGGCCTTGGTTGCTGAGAAAGCCTAAGGGCCTGGGACACTGAGGCCCCACACCTGTGCTCTCCAGCTCCCCGGGAGCCCAGAGGTGTGCCGAGGAGTGGTTATGTGTGGGCCGCCCTTGGAGCTGCTGGTGGGAGGGGTGGGCTGGGGTGGGAGTCCTGCACATTTTCCAGACAGGCCCTGAGGTTGGAGGAGGTTAGGGAGGCACTGTGCTCTGTGCTGAGTCCTAAGTCTAGAGCCACGAGGGTGTGGCTGAAGGCATGCAACAGTGTGGCGTGGTGCTGTGTAGTGCGGTTGTGGGTGTGGTGGTGTGTGGTTGTGGCATGGTGTGGTGTGGCTGGTTGTCACCAGAACCCTGACCAGCCCTGAGTCTTCTGTATCTCTGCACACAAAGGTTCTACAGGGAGCTGCCTTCGGGTAAGAGCTTCTGGATGTGCCTCAAATCCATTTCACCTCTCTCTGAATACCTGGGCCAGACCCTGTCTAAGCCTCCCAGGCCCCTTTTGCCCTTTAGTCAAAACCAGAGGAGTCTTCAGGCAGCGAGACTTCCTTCATGTTGCCCCACAGATCTGGTGTGGGCCGTTTAGCTCAGTACAAACACACCCAGGAATGGACACCAGCTACAAAGACACCTGAACCCAAATTCCAGTCCCTTCCAAGCCTCAGCTTCCACAGCTACAAAGCAGAAGTGACACCAACCGGGGGCTGGGTGAGGGTTACATGAGCCACAGGAACAGGGACCGGGATAGAGGGGACCTTGGTCAGAACTGATATGGCCTTCTCTTGCCCTGTGACCTTGGGCAGCAGGTAGTCACACGTCTCTGAACCAGTTTTCACATCTATAAAAAGAGGAAAATAACACAGTTTTCCTTTTGGCTTCATTGTAAGGATGGAGAGAGGTAATTACATCTGTGATTCCTACAGCTCCCTCCCAGGTCCGAAGGACACCAACTCCCTTCATGTCCCCAGGGAGGTGGCCCCTGGGTCTCAGCTCTGAGACTGAGGAGGGGGGATAAGGGGTTTTGATGCCCCAGCTCAGTGCAGACAAGGAGTTGCCACAATGCCCTACTAACTTATCAAGGCAGACAGCCTGTTGCAGAAATATTAGCATCATCTTGAATCACTTTGACACCATTTTAAGTGCAGTCATTACCCAAAGGTCCCAGAGAAACCTCCACCAGCTATGTGTACATATGGAATTTTGTTCTACCTCAGAGCCCTGTGCATATTGCAGATATTTATTTTAAAACCAAGAAGTCTCAGCTGTAAGAGGGAGTGGAGACTCTGACACATGGGACAACTAGAAGAGCCTGCTGGCTGGGAGCTGGGCCAGGGATTCAGTCCAAACCCAGGACATAGCTTGACAGGAACATGCATCATCAAGTCTGAGTTACGCACAACTCCTTAGCCAGCCCTGGGATCTGAGCAAGATGATGTGGATCCAGAAGTCTGCAGAGTGAGTAAGTGGAAACCCTAATATGAAGTTAACAATAGTGGCTAGTATTTCCCAAGCACTTACAAGGCTTATTCTAAGACTTACATATTTATTTATTCATGCAATCCTCTTTGTACCCCAGAAAGAATAGATTCTATTATTATTCTATTAGCAAATGAAGAAACTAAGGTGAGAGGGTTAAGTGACTTCTTTGATGACCTGTAGTTCATAAGTAGCAGGCCTGACTTGAATTTTGAGCATCTGGCTTCAGACCTATACTATAGCACTCTGGCAAAGTCCAGATTTCCCAGTCTATTATAGAGGACATTCCAACATGTATCAGTTAGCTTTTGCTGTGTAACAAACTATCCCATGACAAAATGACTCAAAATAGCAACAGAAAAATGAACTAAGTGGCCACTATGGGAAGAATGGAGGCTCTGCATGGGATTATCAACACCGGCTGCCCCTTCTAGAGGCTGATATTGCTAAAGCCATTGTTGAAAGTCTAATATGCCAATGCAGAGACAAACGATAAATCCCAATATATAACCATCCCCTCCAGGGACCTTTCAGCCACCAGGTGGCAAGTTGGTTACATGGTCCTCTTCATCATGAAGGGGGTAGAGTTATCCTCACAATAATGGACACATGTTCTGATTTGGATTTGCCCTCCCTCCCCATTACTCTTCTTCTAGGGCCATCATCCATGATGGACTTCCAGAATGCCTTTACATCACCATGGCACTCTTCAAGCTTTGTTTCTGTTCAAGAAACTCATATCATGGAAACCATCATTTTATGTCCGTGGGACTAACTGCTTTTATGATACACCCAGAAGTGGCCTAACTGAAATATGGAGTGTATTCCTGAAGACTCAGTTGTGATGCCCATAAAGAGGCCACACACCAAAGGGATGATGCTCTCTCTTAAGAACATAGAATATGTTTTGATCCCAAATACCACTGGATATGATTCTGTCCCCCCTCCACAGCCAGAAAATCTGGGCTCAGGGAACAAGGGGCAGGAATGGGCACGGCCCCTACCACTGTTACACCTAATAACCTACTCACGGGGTCTTTGCTTCCTATCCTGGCAATATAAGCTCTGGGTTTTTTCTGGTTGAGAATATAGTTCTTGAGAGGAGACCTCCTGATTGGCGCACAACAGCTCCCAGGCAGCAGGAGGCTTCTGGGTAGGCATGCTGTGGCTCCCAGCATAGAGGAAGCTTCCAGGTAGGCATGCCACAGCTCTGAGCCCAGAGGAGACCTCCAGATCAGCACACCACAGCTCCCAGGCAGCAGGAGGCTTCCGGGTAAGTGTGCTATGCCTCCGAGCCCAGGAGCAGGCACCAGGAACACAGACCCACCCTACTACCCACCCACCCCCCACCCCCCGGTGTCAAAACGAGAAGACACGTAAATAAGCCACAGAACAGGACTTCCAGATCACCTACAGCAAGCCCAAAGGGAAACGAGATGGAACAATCTGATACTCAACCACCTGGACTCCCTGAACTAGCAACTGAAGAGGATCTGGAAAAAATGAAATCAGAAATAATTTCTCACATAACAGCAAAGATCATGCCCATAGTGCAAGACATGATTAATAAATCTAGAGAGGATACAGATAAAAAAAAAAAAGAGGAGCTGAGGAACATGATGGAATGCCAACATGGGAAACAAATTGAATCCATAAAACAGATGCAAACAGAGTTCCAGGAGATTAAAAACTACATTGAAAGTCTATGCAGCAGAATGAGCAAATGTGAAAACAGAATTTCAGATATAGAAGATAAGATTGCAATTAGTGACCAGGAAAAGTAAAAATTCTTTAAAATTTGAAGGGACCATGAGAAATCAATCCAGCAGTTGCTAAACGATGCAAAGAAAAATAACATAAAATTGATTGGAATCAATGAAGAAACAGGACAGAGTGCAGATGACACAAAAAAACTGTTTACAGAAGTGATGGCAGAAAACTTCCCAAACAAGGGAAAAGAATTTGACATACAGATAAGCGAGGCATATAGGACTCCAACTAGCCTTGATCAAAAAAAATCTATAATAGGCATATAATTGTTAAGATTCCAGAAACCCAACAGAAGAACAAAATTCTGCAAGTAGTTAGAGAAAAGAAACAAATCATGTACAAAGGAAAGCCCATCCGAATCACAGCAGACTTCTCAGTGCAAACCCTCAAGGCTAGAAGAGCTTGGAGTGATGTATTCCAAGACCTAAAGGAAAAAAGCCTCCAACCCAGACTGATGTACCCTGAAAAACTATCTTTCAAAATTGATGGTGAAATAAGATACTTTCATGACAAAGAGCACCTTAGGAACTTGTGAATACCAAACCAGCACTCCAAAAAATTTTAGACAAAAGCCTAGGAAAAGACAACGAGGATCACAAACCCAGGAAGCCCAGAAGAATGAATCCGCTGGGCACGAGAAGAAATTAAAAGCAAAGGGGAAGGATCAAACAAAAAGTAAAAGTCATGACAATGATAACTCAATACATATCAGTTATAACCATCAATGTTAATGGTCTCAACTCACCAATCAAAAGAAATAGACTGGCAGAATGGGTCAAGAAGCAAGATCCAGCAATATGTTGCATACAAGAAACACACTTAATTCAAAAAGAAACTCACAAACTGAAAGTTAAAGGGTGGGAAACAATACTTCATGCTGTGGGAACCCAAAAAAAGCAGGAGTAGCTATCCTCTTTGCAGACCAAGTGGATTTCAAACCCACACTGATTAAGAGAGATGAAGAAGGACACTATATCCTTGTAAAGGGAACAATCCAAGAGGAAGAGATGACAATCATAAATATCTATGCACCAAACACTAGTGCACCCAAC